TTACACAAGCACATAATAAATTCATGTGTTAAAGTTAAAACCTGGTGCTAAAGCTGAATAAAACCACGTGTTGAAACGTGCTAAAATGGAATGAAAACCTCATGCTAAAGTTAAAACCATGAATATTTTACGAAATGCATTGAAAAACAAACCACTTAACAAAAATGTACAAAAATAAAAACAAACCCACGCTATTTTTCAACGTTTTTTTAATTGAAAATTTATTAATTATTTCGCACGATTCAAAAATAGCGATAGCTATTTCTTTTAGCTTCAAAATAGCGCCGCTACAATATAGCTACTGCTCAATAAATGTAACGGTGCTACCGATACCAATACTGAATATGCAGCGGTGCCATACTCCCTGGTGGTAAACTGAAATTTTGAATGACCTCCACTGGTTGATTACGAACAAAAGTATAACATAACATAATAGTTCAAATAAAGGGCGCGAACTAAAGTTCCTATGCCCCCAACAAAATCATAACCAAAATATAACCAACTCTAAATAACAGAAAATAATATGATCGAAATAAAACAACTAGTCTGAAATAAACCGCAATAGTATTAACCAAACTGAAAAAGATAAAGAACGAGAAAAAAAAATATATATATCAATCAAGCTTATAGTTAAATTTACACGGCATATCCTTTAGAGCATTGTCAAGTTTCTTTTTAAAATCATCAACATTGCATGCATTCACCACTTCCTCTCCCAGACCGTTCCAACTGTCAACCACTCGATTACAAAAAGAAAATTTGCGCAAATTTCTCTTAAACTTTTGCGTTGTAAAATTGAATTGATGACCCCTTGTTCTGTTATCTCTTGCCATTATCAAAGTAGGAAAACACGACCCTTCAAGATCTCTGGTCATCCTGCATACCGATATAAGGTCACCTCATAGACGACGGAATTTCAGTGTTGGAAGATCTAGGAATTTCAAGCGGCCCTCATAGCTCAAGTCACGACACTCCTTCACCATTTTTGTTTATTTATACTAATGTAGATATGTTTATGAAATGTCAAGTTCCTATCAAAAATTACACCCAAGTCATTTACTTCATCACAATAATTTAAATAACTTCCATCTATATGATATAAATTATTTTTTAAATCATTGTCATTCCCACTCCCATATCTAACAACCACACATTTTTGAATATTCAACTTCAATTGCCATTCATGACACCATTCAAAAAGACCATTCAAACACAACTGAACAATCATTCTATCATCCTCGGAACAAATACTTTTAAAAAACCTGGCATCATCAGCATACAAATAAACACCAGGCATAAATCCAAATTTTCTACAATTAAATAAATTATTGTCCTCAAAATGATTCATCAAACGATCTTTAATTAATGATTCCAAGACCTTACCACACAAAAAACATAAGGAAACTGGTCTGTAATTCTCCACACTACATACATAACCCTTTTTATAAACAGGCACAACAATACTGTGCCTCCATGCATCCGGAATTGTGTACAAACCCAAAGAAATATTAAATAAGTCACATAAATAATCCGCAATCCCACTACTACACTCAACCAAAACCCTAGAAAAAATATTATCAGGCCCAGCTGATTTATTTATATTTAGTTTCTTTAATTTTAACATTATATCATTGACATTAATGGGCTCTCATGACATTTCACAAACACACATAGTACCACAAACCATTACAAAATTATTCCCAGCAGGCATACTAAACACACTGCTAAAATAAACCCCAAATATATTAGCTTTTTCTGTACTGTTAATTATATTTACTTTATTACCCAAACCATCAACCCTAGATAAAATATCAACATTACCCTTTGATTTACTTTTTTCATTTATAAAATGCCTAAAAGCCTTTGGATTATTCTTAATGTTTTTAGCTAGATTCAATATATAATTATTTTTAATTGAGTTAACACATTTCCTAACCTTGTGTCTAACTTTATTAAACTCATTTAACAAAAGAACTGATTTAGATTTAACTTATTTCTTCTATAATTTACACTTATATTTTATTAATGCTACCAAATCCACAGGAAAATTTATCTTATACCGTTTATGATTAACATCAAACTTTGGCACATATACATCAGTTGCTTCTGACAAATTATACGAAAAATGATTCCACCTCATATTTACCACATTAGAGCCATTAACATTGTTCACATCATCAAAATTCTTACACAAAACATTGATAAGAAAATTGCGCATTGAATTATAATCACCTTTCTAAAATTAAACTTACTAATAGTACTATGCCTTAAATTATGCCACTTATACTTACATGTGAAACTCAAAACAGAATGATCGCTTTTCCCAATTGGTACATTATACTTCAAATTCTTAATTAGATCGATATTTTGAACTAGCTACAAGTCAAGTATATTAGATCTCTGGTTACAACGATACCTTGTTGGACATTTAACAAGTTGGCAAAGAAATAAATCATTTACACAATTTATAAATTTACTTTCCAAAGATTTTAAACCATGATTTGTTGACACCAATTCCCAATCAATCCCTGGTAGATTAAAATCACCATTTATTATTTTAAAACATTTAATTTGAACAAATTTTATTAATAACTTCAAAAGATTAGCATTATTAGTAGCAATGGAGCTAGGGCTCCTGTATATAATTAATATACAAAAATCAACATTTTGACCCAAAAGCTTAATACATAAAAATCTGTTAAACTTAGTTCTAAGAGAAACTTTACAAGAATTTACATCAGTCCTAACATAACCACAAACTCCTCTACAGCCCTTAACCATAAGGTTTTCAGTGAAAAGGTTATAATTTTCAATATTTAATTCAGATATAAAATATTTTTCTTTTATATTTTTAGGATTTGTCTCAATAAACAACATAACATCATAATTATAAGTCTTGGCCAAACACTTTATCTCTTCAAATTTGTTAAATAATGAATCGATATTAGAATACAAAACATTTATTGTGGAATTTATTTTTTTTCTGCAATCTCACGACCTTCATACTTCCCGGCAGTCCTCTTACCCCGTAAATGTAGCCCCCTTCTCTAAATTTTCTTTTTGTTTAGCCTCATCAACTAATTGTTTAACTTGCTCTTTCTGACTTTTGGTCAAGTCATGTCCAATTCCAACTCTCTTAAACTCAACCTGTATCGGACTCAGCTTTCTCAAATTTTCCATTATCATATTTTTAACTCTCCTTTCCTTGAAGATCACCAATATTGTTCTTGGCGAAGAACCCTTTTTACCCAGTCTGTAAAATCTTTCAACCTCTGAAAAATTAAATGAACTCCCACATAAATGAGAAAAAATCTCGCCAATTCTAATTCTGCCTGAGGATCTGCTGGATCTTTACCTATTTCTTCTAACCTAAATATGACCAAATTGTTAGCTCGATTTTCCTCATCATCCTTGATCATATGGTTACATGTTTTCTCTAAAGTCTCCCAATGTTTTTAATATCATTTGAGACTACAGTTACTTCTTTCTTCTTTCATTATATCAGCAAATGATGATTTCAAACTCTCCTGTAACTGTATATAACCCTCAGAATGCTTCGTCTTATTTAGTTTATTAACCAACAAATTTGAAATTTCTACCTTTTCTTTCATGCTTTTTATTTCCCTTAATATCTCACCATTGCCATCCTTCAAAGCCTTCAACTCGCTCACCAAATTATGCTCAGACTCAACGAGAACCTTTCCTAAATTTTTTAGCACAGAGCCATGAATAACCTGACACAACTAAGATATTCAAAAATAGCTCCTCTGTAATTTCACCACACTTAAAATGACACACCGCTTTACACGCAACACACTGCAAATAATTACCCCCATCCACCATCTTATTGCAACTAATACACAAACATTTTTCCTTATCTTTATCGCTCATCTCACACCACACAGTTAACTTTAAACCCCACAAACTTTAAGCCCCTATATTAAATTAATTAAATCAAAATATAAATCACTTTAGTATAAATAAATACTCACAAATTTTTTATAAATATATACTCTCAAAATTTAGTATAAATATATACTCTCAAAGTGCAAGACAAACAAGTAAACAAAACACAAACAGAAAAAAGTGTACAACACCATCGACAAAAATGACCGGCATGTATCCTGCAACCATGAAAGATTGCAGTACTAAACTCTCAATGCCTCTAGTCAGTGCACCTATGTTAGTATCTTAATTAACAGTGAATGTTAAACCAAAAAACAACAATGAAACACGAAACCTCTAGAAAAATTTCAAAATTATTATATAACTTTAACGGATAAAATTTATTAAAAATTTATAAAATTGAAATTCATCGAAATATTATAGAAAGTTACAATCCCAATTTCCAGATTTAAGTATAAAATCATTAACCTATATTAATTTATGTTAAAGTTTATTCCACAAATTAACTAGCAATATGTCAATACAATAGAATAATTTAGTTTGAATAACTTGGCACCAAATTATTTTTTAAGTAAGTTTACCAGAAAAGTAACCACCTCGGGTTTTTGTCTGAAATCTGACTCTTAACAGTTTCAGTGCAAATACGATCGCGTAAGAATGTTGTTGCTGGTCTTGTTGTTCGGAACAGTTTGTCCAATTCACTGGGAAGGCTAACGTTTGAAAACAAACAGTGTTAGCAAACGGCTTGAAATTCAGTTACAATAAAATTTAATGTATGTGGTTTGGTGGTCGGCCAAGACTGTAACGCGTGAGCGTGAACGTGTTTGAACTATGATCTTGTTTCTCAGTGATTGGGAACGAATGTAGAAATCTCCCACCAAATATGCCTTTGTTAATTTTTTATTTTCGCATTTACCTGTAGATAATTAATTCTCGGTACGCCTTATGCTGCGCACAGGGCGCAACATAAATGACATGTTGTTAATGTCATGTCGTCTTTGTTATTTTTTTAAGCAATCGCCTCAATGATTTTTCTTTATGTTTTATATTTTACACTTTTTCTACAAATACCCAATATTAAATTAATTTTTTAGAGGTTTTATCAGTGGCATTGCTACAACAAATAGATCTTTAGGTGTTGGCATTTTTATGGTTATTATTGGAGTTCTGTTTGGTGTTCTCGGTGCAATTGGTTTCTTACTTATAGTGAAGGTGTGTACCTGAGAATTATCACATTGAAAAATTTTATCCTTTAATAATCCTATATTGTAATTTTATATTTAATAAATTTCAATTAATATTTACCTAATTTATTATTGATAGAAAATTTTATAAGTCTGACGAAACACTTTTGAAATTTTGGTAGGTGCTTCATTGTTACAGACACATGGATGCTAGTTTCCAAAAAGCTCAAGCGGAATTAGCCAGTGGAGTACTTTCTAACAGAGGAGTTCAGGAAGCGGCTACTGCTGTTGCCAGTTCAGCGTTCAGTGGCCAGTCTAGTTATAATCGCTACTAAACGAATGGAAAATAACCGAGAAACACTTTATATTTTTGTCTTCAGTTTTTTAATTTATTGAAAGTTTTAATTGAGATTTAATTGCTTGACAAACATTGGATGTTCTTGAATAGTGCAAAACTAAAAAAATACAATAAACTTGTAATATTGAGATTTTTTTAATTAAAGTTTTTTATTTCTTTTTTTATTGATGAGTAAAGTAAGTTAAATAAAAATTTTAGTTACGAAAGATATTTGACAATGATGAAAAAAATTTTATTAATCATAGTTATTTTGAAAAATATTGTAATTTTATCTTTCACCGCTATTCGAGAAAACGAGTAACTGCAAATTTTGAACTCTCATGAAATGCCTTCAAATCAGTGATCCACTCACATAGAATAACCCTACTAAACGACACCTTGGTCAAACGCTTCCTTTCAAACTCTGGACTGATGGCTTGATGGGACCGAAAATTCCGGTGTAGTGAAATCTTGGACCGAAAATTCCGGAAACCGAAAAAAGATCCATACTCATATCATTGAAAGTTAAATCAGTTAATTTATATTTAAGTATAAAATCATTAACATATATTAACTTATGTTAAAGTTTATTCCACAAATTAACTAGCAATATGTCAATACAATAGAATAATTTAGTTTGATTATCATTGAATTTGTTATCATATTATCAAACTTTAATTTATTCAAATTATAAATATATAAACTGATATGTTATTTTATTGTTAAAAGCTCAATTAATTTATATTTAAATATATTATTATTGAACTGTATTAACTAATGCAAGATTTTTTTACAAATGAAGTAGCAATAAGTCAATACATCTCTTTCTGCTCAACAGTATCATGACTTTTGTAAATAAAATTAACTCTTTATGAACATCTAATTCTCATTCTACTCCACATTATTTTACTAAACTTACTACTGAATCTTTTTCTGTATTTACTTCTACAAATGTTCTAGAACCTTCTAAAATTATTAATTCTATGTCATCTACAACTTGTTCTCTAGATCTACTTCCTTCCAATTTACTTGAAGAATTTTTTTCAATATTTTATCCTATCATTCTCAAATTAGTTAATTTATCTTTTTCCACCCCTAAATTTCCTACTTCTTATAAGAATTCTATTGTTATTTCTATTCTTAAAAACTCATCTTTAGATCCTTCTTCTTCATTTAATTATAAACCTGTTACTAATATTACTCTGTTTGTCTTAAAATTAATTCTTCTAAGTTTAAATTAATTTGTTTTAATAAATTTAAATGCTCTATTACTATTCCTTCTATTATCTTACCTGATTCTAAAACTCTTGATGTTTCTCACAAGTTTTGTGGTCTAGACTTTATCTTTGATTGTAACATGTCTCTTTCTTCTCAGATTAATATTGTTGCTAGAAGTTCTAACTTTCATCTACGTAAAATAAATAAAACTTTTGCCTTTTCTTTACGATCCTACTCTTCTCCTTCTTGTTACTTTTTTAGTTTTATCTAGGATTGATTTTTGTAACTCGCTATACTATGGTCTTTCTGATTCTATACTCTATCCTTTAAGTAAAGCTTTTAGCTCCTTTCTTTTCTCTTATATCTCCATATCTTGTTTTCTTGCACTGGCTACTTATAAAATATAGAATAATTTTTTTTTAAATTGCACATTAATATATAAATCTCAATCTAAATTACTTCTTAAGTATCAGACATATCAACTGAACATAACCGCCCCGGTTTACGATCGTCTACTTGTACTCACTTCTTCTTAACTCGTGTTAAACACTTTTTTGCTAAATCTGCATTTGCTTTTTTTGGCCCATTCCTCTAGAACTCTCTACCCCCTTCTCTGACTACTTCTTCATCACTTATAAAGTTCAGAGCAAATCTCAAGACCCATCTATTTGCAAAATTCACTAAGTATCAAATGCTCTCCTCACTCTCTCAGCAGGGATACGATTGAAGTATTCGAAATGACCGTTTGCTATGAGACGAAATTTAAACAATATATATTGAATAAATATATAAATAACTTATAAAACAATCTTGTAATCGATTTTAAATATTTAAATACTTTAATTAACACTTTTAAAATCTCACCAATAGGTTTTTTATAATCCTTTTAATGTATCTTATCGACGTAAAATGGACCAACCAATTTTGATATAGTCTAAAATTATTAGTGGTATAGCGTCATCATACGCCGCGCGTTGTGACAGAAACAATGCGCGAACCAACCTTTTATATCTATCATCATTGTACTCATTTTAGAATGACGAGCAATGATGACTAGTTTTACCATTTTATAACTTTATAACAACAAAAATATCAATTTTTTAAGTTAACGTTATTTTATTTTTATGAATTATACTACGTTTTATTTTTATAATCTATATTTTAATTATATCTTATTTTATATTTTATTTTATAGTTAAATTTAATTATCTATTTTATCTTTTTTCCAAATATTTTTCACTCTTATTTATATATTTTATTACATTGAACTATTTTGATTTTATTCTCAGTTTTCATAATCATCATCAGTTTTTCGGCCAATAAAAATATTATGATTACTTAACTGTAGAGATCGTCAAAGAAATGAGCTTGTCTCAAAGAAGTGTGGACAATCTTTTTCAGACAAAGTTTAAAAATGAAAAACAAATCTTATAATCGTTATTTGATTGAAATTTTTTTTATTGGTGAAAAATAGGAATAACCCCGAAATTCGAGAAAAAATCGGGAACAGATTTTATTTCTCATCTATCCACACAATTCAATATTTCCGAATAGTTTTCAAGAAAAAAAAATGTATAGCAGTTTCGATACAAATAATTAATAAACAATATAATACTGATTGTGTTAAATTGAATTAAATATAAATTAAAGTATAAATATTAATTACTACTATTATTATTGTTTTATTATTATTATTATTATTGTTACTGTTGTTATTATTATTATTATTATTATGCGAACGTGAAACACGTGAGTAGGCCGATTTCGTACATGCATTTTTATGCATAATTTCGTTTTTTTAGTTGCTTAATTAGTTTTAAAATTGTTATACTGTATTGATAAAATTACGTGGAAATTTAATTTTTATAACGTTTACTACTTTATTTTAATTATCTTAATAAACCTAATCTACGAAGTTAATTCAAGCAAATGCCCGTATTTTGATAAAAATTTTATTCAAGTAAAAAGACGCACCTGGCGTTGTGCAAAAAATACCAACTCTAATAACAACCTCGTAAGTTCTGCTGACAAATCCAACGTTGAAGTTTTTCCTAATATTTATAATGCACATTCTATAGATAACAGTTCAATTAATTTGGAAAAAAATATAATTTGCTGCTGCGGTAAAAGTTGTAAAAGTAGAAAAGGCCTTATTATGCACCAACGTTCATGTAAAATGCATAATCAACTTAAATTAGCAGACAACCCTGCAATCGACGTAGACGCAACCTCATCAACCTCGGAGCAGCAATCATTTAAATTATCAAATAATTCGTCACCCTCACCAACAGAATCAATAGAATCAACTTTACCGGGCGTCAAACTACCAAAAACTTTGACACAATGGTCAGAAGCAAACGCCTACTTCCAACTGCAACAACATACACTGCCAAGCTACCACGACATTGACGCCTTTGCATATACATTTTAAAAAATGATTTACGACTACTTTGCCTTAAATTATGGCACCATCAAACCTCAAACGATCAACAACAAAAGTTCCAACAAATCTATTGAAGAATTAAAAAATAAATTGAAGCAGCTAAAATTATTGGGCCGCAGCAACCAGAGCTTTGACAATCTTATCAGATCAAGAAGTAAAGAACTGCGAGCCAAATTTTTATCAACAAAATATCAAAATCTGGTAAGTTATGTGGTAGCATCACGTCTCATTTGAAACGACAATTCTGGTTGACATGCAAAAGAATAATTGCCCAGACGGAAAATTTGAAATCGCTGTTCAACGTCAGTGATTGCACGCGTTTAATTCAAATAAATACTATCAGATGATAATCAGAAAAAATGCCAATTACCAAACTGGACTCAACAACTACAAAAACCATCAACACCCTGCAACACAAGCCCTCCATCATACCATGAAATATCTACAATAGTTCGCTAGTACAAAGCTAAATCATCACCTTGCCCACTCGATCAAATCTCGATAATTTCATTTTAAAAATGCCCTATATTACGCACTATTCTACAGAAACTTTTAATACAATGCTGGTTGTCAAGCGAAATCCCAATTTGTTGGAAAAAGGGCATCACGATCCACATTCACAAAAAGGGAGACGCTCACGATCTTTCCAATTTCAGACCAATAACCTTGCAACCTACACTCTACAAAATATTTTTATCCTTCATAAAAAACAGAATCTACAACTTTTTAGAAATCAACAATTTCATAAATAAAAACATCCAAAAGGTCTTCTACCCGAAAATAGATGGTGTAACGGAACATAATCAGTTTTTAACTCACCTAGTCTACAATGCGAAGAAACATCAAAGAACCATTATCGTCGCACTTCTTGATCTTTGCAACGCATTCGGTGAAGTCAGCCATAAACTCATATCATCAACTTTCAATTTTTATCACATCCCTTCTCAAATTATCAAACTAAATGAACATATATATACCGACCACTCAATCACAGTTTCCGGATGCGGCCAACCAACCCCGCCTATACCAATCAAGCGTGGTGTTTTGCAAGGTGATCCCGTGTTTCCACTGCTCTTCAACCTCTGCTTCAACCCCCTGATGAAAGTCATAGAACAAAGTACCAACAATGCGGGTACATATGAGGTCCGTCGGCTAGCTTAAAGGCAAGAGCGTGGTTTCAGTTCGCAGATGACACGGCCATTATCGCCAACAGCACCGAAAGTGCTCAAAAACTCATAGATGTAAATCACGCTTTGTGCAAAGCAACTGGAATGAGTTTGAGAATTGACAAGTGTTCCTCGTTCGGTATGCGAAAACGCAGCGGGGTTTACGAACAATTCCTTCCGGCGCTATCGATCGACATCAAACAAATCCCCCATGTTGACATCTGAGGTTATTTCGAATATCTGGAGAAAAAATATGATTTCGAAAGCAACAACACGAACGCAAAAAACCAGATGATCATCAAACTCAAAACATTACTATCAACCGTCAGTGAACTAGATACAACAGTTCAGTGGAAGCTTGAAATCCTTATTAAATATCTTTTATCCCAATTGGCGTTTGAATTTCGCATGTGCAACATTTCACTGACTTGGATTAGTATGCATCTGGACACGCTAATCACCTTAACATTAAGATCATGGCTGTCAATGCCCATTAGTAGCTGTCTGTCGGAGACATTGTCACTCCCATATAAATTCGGTGGCCTAATCGTTAGATCTCTCAAAAATTGTGCCGAATCTTTGAGATTAAAACTCCGTAGCTATTTGAAATCAAACGGCAACGAAGAACTTAAATGTTTATGGAGCGAATCTTATAGCAACTATATAAAAATCAACAATTTGCTTCCTGACTCAAAGGACATAAAACCGGCACTCAGCATGCTAACGATCCAACAACAAAATGCAGAACTCAAACATCTATCGCTACTCCGTTGCCAAGGGACAATTTTAAAAGTGATCAAAGACCAGATTCCCGCAGCTAGAATTGCTCACTGGTTGAAATTCATTGCAAACCTCTCAGAAGTACTGTTCAAATTTGTTAAAAATAGTCTCATCCAACAACTCCCCATAAATGCAAATTTGTTCAGATGGGGCAAATCATCAACGGCTGACTGTTCATTGTGTAAAGCACGGCAAACAAACAAACATGTTCTGTCTAACTACAGTTCGGTGGCAGCACTAAAAAGATTCACAACGCGTCACAACAAAATTTTAAACATAATTATAGTAAAGTTGAAGGCATGCGCGGGTCCAGAGGTTTCGATATATGCCGATGTGGATTATGATGGGATCCCTCCAGTGTCTTGTCTCTTCAAATCTCTACGTCCTGACATCGTAATACTTTGTGACGACATAATAGAAATATTGTAGCAGACGGTCTGCCATGAATCCAATCTACTCAACTCAAAAGAATATGAGGCCACCAAATACTCAGAAAATCTCAAAAATAATTTGCATGACAATTCAATACACCTGAAAATAATTGTTAATATTCTTGAAATTTCAACATTGGGTTTTTGCAATTTTTTAAATTTATCATTAATCAATAACATTTGGTCAGATCAATTTTATAATAACCTTATTAACTCTGTAATACCGTCATCTTATGCCATTTACTCTGAACGTAATAACATTTGAACTGTTCGTTTAAAACTAACTATATCTCGTTGTACTCGTTTATTTCAAATGATGAGCATCGTAGAATACTATTTAATTTAATTTAATTCAATTTAATTAATTTAATTTAATTTATTTAGATTTTAATTAGTCTTTTATCTCATTTTACTATATTTCATGTTTTTCTGGAAATAAAAGAGATTTCACATTATTATTATTATTATTATTTATTATTATTATCGTATTATCGGGAGGATCGTGCATAACAATATTAACAATTTATTACAATATTAACAATTTATTTTATTCTATTTTATTTTATCTATTTGGATTTGATTTTATGTAATAATAAAAGAGTTCAGATTATTATTATTATTATTATTGTCAAGCAACTGCCTTGACTCTCTCATTGTTGAGAGGCTTGAACAATAGGTCTCTCAAACACTATGCCTAATCTTTGCGGATCAAATAACGCAATTATTTAAAAGCACATGGCAATGATGGACTAAAGTGTTTGTGGTCCGAATCGTTCAACAACTATATTGCGATTGACAACCAACTCCCTGATTCGAGCGATATCAAACCGATGCTCAATGCGACAATGCTTCGACAACAAAGTGCAGAATTTGCACGACTGACCTCACTCCGTTGTTAAGGTACAATAGTCAAAGCAATGAGATTCTTGCGGCTCAAATTGCTCACTGGTCACGTTACATTATGAGCCTTCCAGAGGTTCTGTTCAGATTTGTCCGGAAAGGTTTAATTCAACAGCTGCCGACAAATGCCAACCTGTCCAGATGGGGAAAGTCCTCATGCAAAAATATGCAAACCAATAAGCATGTATTATTTAACTGCAGCTCAACATTGGCATTGAGTAGATACACAACAAGACAACAAAATTTTAGCAATAATCCCCGACAAGTTAAAATCATGTGCCAACCCAGACGTCTCCATTTTTGCTCATCTTGAGACGGGCGATTTTCAACCACCATCACGCTTATTCAAGACATTGCGACCAGATATCACTTTGCTACGCGGCGAAAGGCTGGAAATCCTGGAGTTGACAGTCTGCCATGAGACTAACTTCTTCAACTCTAAAGACAAACAATCAAAATACTCTAATAGCTTGAAAAATAACTTAAACGACGACTTGAAACATTTAAAAATAATAAATACATTTGAAATATCTACTTTAAGTTTCTTTAAAACATTTAAGTTTTCGCTAATAAATATTATTTGGACTGATTATTTTTGCAATAACCTTATAAACTCTTTCATATCATCGTCATACGCTATCAATTGCGACAGAAATGTGAAATGAATCAATTTTTAAACTAATTAACTCCGGTCGTACTCTCTCGTTTCGAATGATGAGCTTCTCAGATTAATACTCTATTTATTGCTTTTGACATTTTATTTTAATTCATTAATTTATTTTATTTGTACTGTCATTTTTATTGTTTTTATTATTATTATTATTATTATGGTAAAAATAGTATACTGATCAAAAAATACTAGGTTTTAACTACAACTTGAGTTTTAATAAATGTAAAAAAAAGAAAAACGGTTCTTTCTAAACTAATAAAGTTTTTTTATTAATTTATTTTTTAAATATTATAAACCCAGAGAATGTAGTGTACATGTTCCCGTGCAGGTAGGAAGAATTGCTCAGCAGCATTATCCAAACCTGATCACCTTTCTGCAAATGCAGTACAGCTACGTTAGATGCTGACGACCAGTATTTAATACTTTCAGACCAGACAGTTGCCACCATTTCACCATTTCGCAGAAGCATTACTGCAGCCTGTGTAAAAAATGTATGTAAATTATATTTGATATAATTATCTATGCTTAGGTATTCCTTGAATTTCTATTCTTTACTTGTAACGTGACTTACGATCCTATATAAATTTCTAACACGTTGTCAGTTTTATTATTGTGTGATAATAGCTTGGTATTTGTACCTGGAATTTAATATTTCTATTTTAGGTTGGTTATTCGTTTATTCATGTTTTCTGTAATATTTCATATTGTTTTAATTGATTTCATTTATTATTATGTTCTTTGTTCACTTATTTGAAATTTCTATTTTAGATAAACAAATCAGGTCCTCGAAAGCAAACATAAATAAAATTCCAAGAAGCTGGCTTCAAAAACAAGTAAGTTGTATGTATTTTCACATTATTAAAAGAGATGATGAAGAATTTGAATTAGCGGGCATATCAGAAAATAAAGAAGTTTGGTATAGCCTACCTGAAGAATATAAAAACTTAAGTCTGCACGAGGTTCTATCTACAAAGCGAACGATTAATGCGATCAAAACTATCAATGATTATCGCAAAATTTGCGTTAAACTCGATGAAGAAATGAAAAAAGAATATTATGATGAAGAAAATAATCTCTGTTTTTTAAAATGGAGATAGATTAAATCAATTTTTTAAATGAAAAATTTAAAAAATTATAAGCTAAACTAAATCTGAATGATAACGTTAAGTTGCTAGAAATTGAAAAAAAAAATTATTTTGGAGAAATTCAACAAAAAGCAAAACCCTACTGATTAGATAGAGGGATTTGAAAATGAATGTCATAAAGGCATTACGCTTCTTCTTATTTTACCTCAGTATATATATATATAGACTATCATAAAAACAATTATTTATATATATATTAATTATTTATGAGTGAGTATACATACTCGTACATGTTATTGTCGTTTGTATTTTCATTTTGTTAAGTTGTTGTTCTTTACGGTGAATTATTTTCTTTACTTGTGATAGCTTGTATCCATTATTAATTTGGAGATTGTTGAGATTGTTTACTCGTTAAAGTTCTTTTTCTCTATCTTCGGTTTTTGATGATACTCACTCATCAAATTAATAAAGAACTCCAACGAGTAACCAATCTCCTGAACTTAACTTGACATGAACTTAAATTGATAAAAGAGATGTTGAACAATAACAGTGCAACATTAGATTGCCTTGATAGGCCTGATAGCAAGTTATCTGCCAAGATCAGCACATTCAAAAGTGATTTGAAATCTTCTTTTGCTACTGTTGTTGGCCAAGAAGTAAAGAAAAACATTGAGTGTGTCAATTTGGAAGTTAAAACGGTTAAAAGAAAGTTAACTGAGTCTATTGATATAAAAGACAGAGAAATAAATATAATAATCTTCAATTTACAAGAAGGTGAAAAATTGTCTGATGATATAAAAGATTCCTATATATAATAAGTTACAAGACTTGGAAAGAAAAATGCATCATCCATCATCCAAAATTGATAGTGTTGGATAGTTTGATGCCTAAAGAGACTGTGATGAGAAATGCACATAAATTGAAATTAATGTTGGTTGAACTGAGTAAATTCTGGATTAGCAATGACTAGACACTTGAGCAGAGAAGTGAATTAAAGAAACTGGTAGCTGATGCAAAATCGAAAAAAGCGGCATGCAAAGACAATTTTTTATACAGAGTCAGAGGTCCTGTGGAAAAATGACGGATTGTGAAGTTCAGAAATTAGCTGAAGAAGGTGTTGTCGACGGGAGGGCCAGTTTCATTCATGCTACAGCTCAAAAATTAACCATGAAAAATTACAACGATTTAAAAATTGGCCTGGGGCTTCTCAACATAAGATCTATAATGTCAAAGTATGAAATGGTGTGTGATATAATTCGTGGAGAATTGGATATTCTTGTATTAACCGAAACATAGCATGGGTCGTCAGATGAGTTTGCTGTCCTGTGCGCGATGCCCCCTGGTTATAAGTTTGTAGATAACGTTATACCTCACGATCCATATCATGGCGGAATTATAATTTATTTCAAGAAAGACATTTACAAACCTGTTGAATTAATAATTAAAGTTGTGATAACTTTTGGAGCTGTTGCAATTAAAGAATAAACAAATCTGATTTTATTTTGTTATCAATTTATAGACCTGGATCGGTTCCTCCTTCACCATCGTTCTTTTCAGAGCTAGCGAATTGTTTTAGAAGTTTTAGAAGTTTTATCATAGCATAGTGAGTTTTATCGCTGTTAAATGTTAAAATCGTTGTTGCGGGAGATTTTAATGTTCATATGAAGAGGAAAGATGATCCAAACACGTCTTATTGAATGATGTTTTCGATTGTTTTCAGAATTAACGAACTAACGCATGAATTAGGTAGTGGTTTGGACTTGATCGTTACTTCTCGCTCTTTTCCTATTTTTAATTGTTTAATTTTTCTCAGTGGAGTGTTATCAGATCATGGATTAATCCAGATTTGTTTGTCAATCAATCAAGTAATAGGTACGAAAGGTGAAAAAATGGTTCGATCCTGGCGACACATAAATGAAGAAAATCTCGCATCGTTAATTTCGAAATCCCCGTTTGTAGGGCCATGCCAAGATGATTATATAGAAACGCTGTTAGAAATTTTTGTGAATGAACTGAGAAGAATTGCAGACATAATAGCTCCAGAACACGTGGTTGAAAGTTGAGATGATTTATAGACGCCGTGGTTTGATGGAGATTGTTCAAAGTCTAAGGCGTACTGTTGAAAAATGAAAAGGAAGTACAGAAAGACTTTAAATCATCATGATAGGGAGGTGTGGAAAAATGCTCTGCGATCAAAAAATATTTTATTCTCCCATAAAAAAAAATTTGTTTTGGAAAAAAAATCATTTTTGAAAATAACAGAAATCCTAAAAAAATTTGGACTGTGGTAAATAAACTGTTGTGCTAGGAAAAACTTCAAATTCATCTACCAATTTTGAAGCAAACGATTTTGCTACATTCTTTTATGACAAAATTTAAAATGTGCGAAAATCGATGGTATATGATGAGAAGTTTAATCATTCATCTGGTGTCTGCTGTAGCAACTTGTTTTCAGTTTTTCCTGTTTATGACGAAAGCGAAATCGTTGAAGCAGTTTTGAACTCTCCATCTAAAACATGTTCACTGGATTGTGTTCCTTCACACATTTTCAAAAAATATGTAGGATTGTTTTCAAAATATTTGACTGATTTTATAAACTTTTTTACGTACTGGTGAGTTTCCGGCTATGTTAAAGCATGTTACAATTTTTCCTCTTTTGAAAAAGGAAAAACTAGACAATTCTGGTCTGAATAATTATCGACCGGTTTCAAATCTGTCGTTCTTGTCAAAATTAATTGAAAGATTAGTTTCTAAGGAGCTTATGAAACACTTTAGATAAAAACAATTTGTTACCGGTATATCACTCAGAGTATAAAAGACATCATTTTACCGAAACTGCTTTGCTGCATGTGTTATCTAAGTTGCATGAAAATGTAAACGATAGAAAACCACCTCTTCTTGGATTCTTAGATATGAGTTTGGCATTTGACTGTGTCGACCATTGCATTATTCTGAAACGTCTTAATCATAGATTAGGAATAACTGGTTCTGTCGAGCAATGGTTTCGGTCTTATTTAACAGACAGAACTCAGCAGGTAATCTACAAGAATAAGACCTCTTCGGTTCAAACGATAAAATTTGGTATTCAACAGGGCTCGGTTCTCGAACCAATCTTGTTTATTCTTTACACCTCTGAAATTATTGAGGCAATCAGATTACATGGATTGGAATATCATGTATTTGCAGATGATATTCTGCTATTCGCCACAGAATTGTATAGCAACTTTCATCTTGCAGTTGATCGTTTTGTGAAATGTTTGGTCGAGATTGAGAAATGGATGGCAAATAATCGTCTTAAGCTCAATCAAAGCAAGACGCAAATTTTTCTGGTTGGAAATTGTTCTCAAATAAGGTTGCAAATGCTGAGAAGCAGTTGATTGTGGAAGCAATGACTGCAGTAGATTCTGACTGGAGTGTGCGAGGTGTCAAATATCCTGCAACTGAACTGGAACAGGTGAAAAGCAAACCACTGCATGATCTGGTATCAGGTACATCTCGTGCTGCATTGTTATCACTTGGAATGGATGTTGCTATCTTGCGTGAAACTGAACCAGACTCATGGAATGATCTTCCTTTATTTCAAAAAGTAGCAAATGTTGTGAAGTCACTTAAGGTCGTTAATGACACTGCAGAACGCACTGTGGCACTCATGACAAATTTTAACCAGTCTATAACCAAAAATGAAACAGAACTGCAAAAACTGATACAGGTGGTGGAGGACAATCGAACACGTATTCCGGACTTCTCTAAGCGCACATTACCAGTGCTCAAGCAGCTGCTGCTATGTTTTGAGTTTGACATACTATGAGTGATTAACAGAAAAACATAAACTGAGTACATTAATTGTCTCAAGTTAATTTCAGTTTCTCAATCAAAGATTAACAGTACTGAACTTTCGTTTGGCATAATCAAGTTGCCTTTACCTTGTGAGAACTGTTTGTTTAGTGTTGAATATTTCGTTATTTTGAGTATAAATTTGTAGAACTGTTAAATCTTACATGATTTTCACAAGAATGTTGTTCATTTTACTGCAAAATAAACATTAAACACAAAATTGTAGCACTGACCAATATTCGCTTATATGCTAAATATGGTGAAAACTGAATGTCATTGAGCAACCTCAACAATGTCACAAATTTGAAGCGCGAAATTATTAAAATTATAATAATAATAATTAATAATAATAATAATAATAATAATAATAATAGAAACGATATTCTAATTAATTTCGCGACATCGTGACATTGTTGGTTGCCATTTTGACAACGGCCACGTAGCATGAACAATCGTATAATTTCAAATATTTTGTTTACTAATTTCAATGAACCTTTGCGTTTTTATTTCGTTACTTTTATTTTATTTTAATATATTAAAAAATACAACTAATTAACTATTAATAGAATTTATTTAAAATATATTGCACTGGTGATGACTTTACGTCGAAATAGATCTACATGCATAATTTTAATAATAATATAAAAAATAAACGATTATAAAAATGGGATCTTGCTTGATTAATTTTAACAATTAAAATCATAAACGATTATAAAATGGATTTCAACATTTTGAATAGACTTAATTGTAAAGAACTAGTTCAAAATATTAGAAAATCAACCATAAAACTTGTTAATGCTGAATCGTCGGTGGATTTTTTGAACAACTATATATATTTATTTATATATATATATATATATATATATATATATATATATATATATATATATATATATATATATATATGGTAAAATTAGGAAGAAGACCAAGTTCTATACAGTTGTTCAAAAAATGGCAACCAACAATGTCACAAATTTGAAGCGCGAAATTAATTAGAATATCGTTTCTATTATTATTATTATTATTAATATTATTAATTATTATTATTATAATTTTAATAATTTATTTATTAATAATTTTATATATATATGTATATATATATATATATGAATTCGGTTGAATGTTCTTGCCCATTTTGTATTAATTAATTTCTTTTGGGTTTGTTCAATAAGACGGAATTGTTGTAACTCAATTTTAGTGAACTCGTCAAGTATTTCGAACGGCTGACGACGTCGTTTCGACAGTGTATGTCATCATCAGAGCCTTGCCAATTTAAATAAATTAAATGTTAAGATAACTGAATCAATATCAATATCGATATTCGTACTTCTACCTTCACATCCAGTATTTAACTTTTGAAATTCATTTAACATATTTTGTATATTGTATATTTTATTATCAGTTATCTTGACTGATAATACTGGTTGAGGGTTGAAAAACGTGTTTCCTTCAAGTTGGCAGTTTTGATGTTTAAATGTGTCAATAATACAGCACCTCCCTACCTCATCGATAGATTGGAATCATACAAATCTCATTTTTCAAAATATTCCTTCCGATCAACCGACCGCAATTTATTTTTTATCCCGACCACAAAGTTGGTGACGGGTTCCCGCAACTTTGCGGTTTTTGGCCCGATTGTTTGGAATGGTTTACCTCCATACTTACGTGACCCTAACCTATCATATTTACAATTTCGAAGTCAACCTTAAACTTATTTATTTGCACAATGAATGTCCGTCTAATTTGTCTATGATTTAGTAGCGCTTTTGAGATTCAACAATAAAAAAGCGCTGTATATAAATTTCCGTAATAATTATAATATATATATATATATATATATATATAGGCTTTAGACGATCATTCATAAATACAATTATTTATAAAGATAACTGCGTTTTCGACATTATTCAACCTGTAGTTGAGTTTCTCAATTTTTCTAACAAAACTTTTATCATCTTGATGAAATTTATTAAGGTTAAATAAAAAACTATTTGACATTTTTGACAAAACATTATTGATAACGTTTAATATACCTTAATTAATAATGGATACAAACTATCACAAATAAAAAAAATTATTCATCGCAAAGAACAACAACTTAACAATGAAAATACAAACAATAATAACAACAATATAAAAACCATCATAATTCATTATAAAAATAGTATGTCCTCATCATATAAAACAGATGAAAAAATAATGAAAAAGATAATAAATAACAATTTTAAAGTCATAGATACAAACAGCTCATTAAAATTAAGAGTTTACTACACGAACAGGAAATCATCATCTCTAATAATAAAAAACAATTCAAACACTAAATCTTCCTCGGATATGAAAGGTTGTCATTTGATTTATTCATTCACATGTAAAATTGGTGAGTGTGTGCTTCAAAATTCTGAATACATCGGAATGACTACAACAACATTAACGAGAAGACTCACTATGCATAAGCAAAATGGCCGGATTTAAAATTCAAAAACCGGCCGGAGCCGGGGCCGGTTTTTAGTTACCATTTTACATACGTTAAAAAATGCTCACATTTTCGGTTATCTACATGTTGAACGTCAAAAAATAACCCATGTTAAAGCACAGAGAAAATTGTCCAGCTCACCGCACAATTAGTGATGTTGTAATTATGTGTCATGTGTACCTAGCCTAACCATTAACATACCATGTTCTTAAATTATGCGCTTATGTATCTCTCTCTCTCTCTCTATATATATATATATATACATATATGTATATATATATATTTATTTATATATTTATATATATATATATATATTGGGACAAGGTTTTCAGCTATGCAGATTTCATTGAATATTTTTGCCCACTTAGCATTAGTTAACTTTTTAGAATTACACTCAACGATATGGAATTGTTGTAAATCGTATTTATTGAGAACTAGTGACGTAATTTGGCTGGCTAACAACGTTGTTTCGGTGTAAACATCATCTTCAAAGCCTTGTATGAGATACAAATATTAAAATAAATGGAAATGTAAACCATATAAAATAAAATACAATGGTACCTAAAATGTTACGTGTTATGATTTAAAACAGGCGAAATGAAACATAGTAATAAATAATTTGAAGAGTTAAAGAGTCAAGTAAAAATGTTTGCCGGATAAAACGAGCGTATGTGTGGAATTTGCACGAGGTATGCAGCTTTATTGTATTTTATTGTATTTAGTTGAACGACAGTATGAATGTATATTATCGAAATAGATATAAGTGTTGTACATGTGTAGGAAAGTATCCAATGAATATAAAAGCATGCATGATACAGGTGTATACACATGTGTAAAAAGAGTATTAATATTAAATATCAAATAGTGGGGCCAGCGACGTAACGAATGTTGTTTCAGGACGTCGGGTCAAAAACTGCGCATTAGCCGGTTTGAATACATCCAACGTCGAACAATACTCGTATTTTTGTTGTGCGCATTGACGACCTGAATCTTCATCGAAAAGTGCATTGGGTATGAGGTCGCGGTATTGCGAAAATTGTAGAAGAGTGTGGTCAAAACAGCTGAGTTGTTTATTTATTGAAGGTTGAAGTTAATTGATATGAGAGGCCTCTTTAATTTTTAGACGGACTGGATTACGTTCGAAATGAAGCACAGTTGTGTTTGGATCCAGTATTGAGTAAGAGGCAAATGATGTACTTGTTCAATATGTTCTTTAATGGCGCCGTTTTGTGTATGCATGGTGAGTCTTCTAGAAAGAGTAGTTCTCGTGTGACCGATGTAACTCTCCACAACTTTGTGTGGCATAGGGCAATCGATTCGATACACGAGGTTCGTCTTCTCTAGTTTATATGATGGTCGAATGTTATTCTTAATTATTAAATTAGACGTCCTGTTATTGTTATAATAAATTATTAATTTTAACCAACTGTTGTTGTTAGGAATCGAAATGTTTGTCTTAATGATAGGTTTAAGTTGTGATTCATCGATTTTGTAATTATCGTGCATTTGATTTAAGTAATGTAAAGGTATGACTGTTTTTGATAAAGGTGGAGTTATTGGATTTTTGATTTTTCTTAAATACTGATTAATGGTACCGTCAATAAGTTTATTAGAGTAATTATTATTTATTAAGAATTGTTTTATACGAATAAGTTCAGTATTAAATATATTAGAATCAGAAGTGATTTTGTATGCACAATGGATAAAGTTAAATACAACATTATTTTTGTAGCGATCAGGACAATCAGATATGTTGTTTAATACCTGACCAGAATTCGTAGGTTTAACGTAAACTTTAAAAGTTAATTGTTGATCTTTCTCTTCGATCAAACAGTCCAGAAACGCTAACGCTTTATTCATGCTAAATTCGATGGTAAATTTGAGAGGAGAATTGTTCTGAAATTTATTTTGTAGGTTGTAGATGTCAGCGACGGATTTGCAAATGATGAAAATACACTCATCGACATAGCGTGCATATATTAAAGACTTATTTGCAGAATCTGCAAATATCTTAGATTCAAATTCAGCCATATAAAATTCTGCAAATAGCGGTCCAAGTGGTGACCCCACAGCTACACCATCAATTTGCATGAAAAGTGAACCGTCGAGTGTGGTAAGCGGGCTTTCGACCGTACATAATTTTAGGAGATCGATGAGTAGATTAGGTGGAATATCGAGTTGCCAGAGTGTTGGATGGTTGTAGACGTAATTACAGACGATTTGAATAGTATAGTCAATAAATAAACTCTTAACATCCAACGAGGCCATATGCTCGACGCATTTTTTATTGTCATTAATGATGTCGATAAATTCAAAGATGGATTTAACAGAATAGATGCGAGGTACATAAGGCTTAAGAAGTTCGTTGATTGCCTTTGCTAATTGATATGTGGGAGTAGGACATTGCGAGATAATTGGTCGTAATGGGTTATTTGGCTTGTGTGTCTTGACAACGTATATTACTATCACAAGTAAAGAAAATAATTCACCGCAAAGAACAA